GCAGGAATCTGATTTGATGATGCAAATGTAAAAGGTCAGTTTTGGTGTTAAACCTTATTTGGAGCTGCTGGCAGACCAACAGCAATTTCTAAGGCTCTGGGCAGGCTGGCAGAACAAAAGTTTTCTTCTGTTCTTCCTTGTACCTCTGTCTCCCATGACAATTAATAGCACCATGGAGCTTCAGCTGTAGTCAGAGACCTTTGTTTTCATCACTGCTAAATGAACACTGAAAAGTCCCTATACGAAAAAGCTCACAGTAGAGCATGAGAGGAGGATACAGATGGGGCAAGAAAAGGAAATGTTAATTCTGTCTCAGCTGCTTGAATGGGCAGTTGTTTCTTGAAGTACTTAGAATTTGAGAGGGTTGTCTGTTTAACCATGTTTTATATGTCATAATGAGGGATATGAGGAAAGAAAATTATGTAGCTTTGGAGGTGCTTGTGGGGCTAAGGGTGCCTGCACATAGTGGCTCAAACAAGGGCAGTATCTGTCTCCCAAGCATGTGAGCAACACAGGAGTTGCATCAAAGCAAACAGTGAATGGCAAAGTCTGGCATAATCTCAGGCTCAAAATAGGCATTGATTTTGGCTTCTTAGTTGATTGAAAGAGTGGCAGCATGCCACAAAAGACACACACAGCAAATTAGACTGTGCCTAAAGCTGTAAAGCTAGCAGAAAGATAAAGATGACAGAGTCAAGACTTTTTCCTGCACTTCATGGAGACAGTATTTTGACAGAATGACTAGGGCAGAGTAGCAGGCCAAACACAGTCTTGATGAGAGGGAGAGAGTCTGAATGAGCATGTTCTTTACTCTCTGTGTGAACAGCAAAAGCCAAGTGTTAACACTTTTTATGCAAGAGGAACACCCTTCTTGTCTGCTTGTACAGCACTTAAGAGGTGGCAGGCTGCTTTCCCCAGGGTTGGCAGCTTGCTTTAAGTTGAGTTATTTCTCTTCTTGTAATGTTGTTCTCCCATATAACCAATTGCTGCTGCATTTGTGGTTTGGGTGGTCATCAGTGACTGTGGAAGCTTTCAGACATATATTGCTAGGAAACTTTCAGAACCCCCCCCATGTATAGTCCTTATTAGATAGGCATTTGGTCATGAACCTTAAGAAGATTCAAGTATTTGATCTTTGACTGGCTAGTTTTAAACTCTGTAAACCTTCCATAAGCAAAATGGTGTTTTGAATTTCAGTATGTGTCCTTTTCCATATTTAGACAGAGTTAATGTACATGTGGGTGGATTTTAAAACCTCGGGTTTTATATTGCTTTGGATGTGTCAGCTTGAGAAATGGTTTGAACATGTCTCCATATCTTTAGATCTTGTTATGCTATTTTCATACCAAGCTGCCAAACTCATTGCATTGAACAGCTGTATGCATTGTTTGTTCATATGACTGAAATTTCAACTTTTTCAACAGAGCCCTTCTGCTTGGCACACTACCCATCAGCCTTTCACAGTGTGATGTTTAATCCAGTAGAACCCAGATTACTGGCTACTGCCAACTCTAAGGAAGGTGTAGGACTCTGGGATATTCGTAAACCTCAGAGGTAAGATCTGGCACTCCTTGTCTCATGCTGTGCTATTTCTTTTCCTTGAGAGATGATGGCATCTGCTCTTTTTTTTTTTTTTTCCAAAGTCAGAACATATGAAGGTAAGAAAAGATGCAGAACAAAGTTAACAGCAACGTTGGTAATCAATTATTTTGTATAATTAATATTCTATTTCATATCTGTGATCTAATTTGATCTGAAATGGGGCTAGATCTTTAGTGTTAAGGTAAGTAATTTTTTTTCAAAGCCTGCCTGGCCTCACCACTGTGGATTAACTTGGACTGTGGTGTCAAGTTCTCATCATTATATTTAGCACTGGCTTGTTAATACTGGAAGAAGCTGTGGTGGGTACTGCCTGGTTTACACTTTGTTTTTCCTATCCAGCTCAGGTTTCAGTGGCTGACTAGAGATTGTGGTCAAGGCAGCTTTTTACTCAGTGCTTAAGAGTTTTATATGACTTCCTGAATAATACAGACACGTGGATAATCAGTTTGGCTACATAATGTGCTTCCAGATTTGTATAGGATTATGAACAAAGGAAGAGAATAAGGTTGCAGGGTAAGATGTGGTTGGACTAGATGCATGCAATGTCTGATACCAGAGTTTGTCATGCACAAGAGATTAAGCTTCTGTTGAAGTCTTTTTCAGTCTTTCAGATTTTGATATTTAATTTTTTATCATAATCATCTGTGGTGAGTTAACCCTGGCTGGCTGCCAGGTGGGCACCAAAGCTGCTCTATCGCCTCTCTCCTCAACTGGACTGGGGAGAGAAAATATAATGAAAGACTTACAGGTCGAGATCAGGACAGGGAGAGATCATTCACCAGTTACTGTCATGGGCAAAACAGACTCAACTTGGAGGAATTAATTGAATTCATTACCACTCAAATCAGAGGAGGATAATGAGAAATAAAAACAAATCTTGAAAGCACCTTTCCCCCACCCTTCCCTTTTTCCTAGTCTTAACTTTACTCATGAATTCTCTACTGCCTCTCCTCCTCAAACTCTTACTGGCTTTGCAGAATTCTTTGTTTTTCAGCTTCTTCCTCAGTTTTGTGATTTACAAACTTCTGCATGTTGAGTTGGTCTCATTTTCACAAGGAAGCTACTCCAAAACATTTCTCTTTTCAGTTGTTTATTCTCAAAGTGGGACTATAAAAGGAATGATGTTGATAGAGTGGTATAACTTATATCAATAGAAATTCTATATGGATGCAAAATTTAGATGAAGTCTTTCACTTGAGTAGCAAACAGAAATAAGATTACTCCATGTAGCTGGAAATGTTGTACAAGGCAAACAGGAATAGACAGGAATAGAGAGAGGAAGTGTCCAAAGGAGGGCAGTGAAGCTGGTGAAGGGCCTGGAGCACAAATCCTATGAGGAGCAGTGGAGGCAGTTGGGGTTGTTTAGGCTGGAGATAAGGAGGCTGAGGGGAGACCTTACCTCTCTCTACAACTACCTGAAAGGAGGCTGTAGTGAGGTGCAGGTCAGTCTCTTCTCCCAAGTAACAAGCAATAGGACAAGAGGAAATGGTCTCAAGTTGCACCAGGGGAAGTTCAGATTGAATATTAGGAAAAATGTCTTCACAGAAAGGGTTGTCAAGCATTGGAACAGGCTGCAAGGGGAAGTGGTGGAGTCGCCATCCCTGGAGGTATTTAATAGACACATAGATGGGCAGTTAGGGAAGTGATGGACTTGGCAGTGCTGGCTTATTGGTTGGACTCAAGGACCTTAGAGGTCTTTTCCAATGTAAATGATTCTATGATTCTATTCTAAAGATCACTAAGGATATAAGCATTGACCCTGATATATGCAACGAGCACATTGAGTAAGGAATTGTTCTCTTACAAATTTTACAGCTGCTTTCTAATAGCAGAAATAGTGCCTTTTTCTTGTGTTTGGATATTCTCATGAAGACTTTGATCTCCAAAAGTTTCTCATCTTACATATAAAGTGCTGAGATATATCTATATAAGTGCTGATGAGCATTTGCTTGGCGTGTTAGCAGCTAGCAGATCATGGAAACTCAGAGGTTCTCCAGTCTAGGTGCTATCTTGCCTTCTTCCTTGGTCTTAACCACAAGGCAAAGGACTTGCTGTGAGCTTGTTGGGGGCTACTGTGTGTATGGGATAATAGTCTGCACTCACATTTGAGGACACACATTTTTAGCTGTACTGTGACTTTGTTCTTTTAAACACCGAATGTGAAATAATTGCAACAGAATGTAATTGGTAATGCTTCTTGGCAAGTAACTTGTATTTCTCTAGGTTTAGCACCAGTATGAAAGACCTTTGACAAATCTTAATACTACAGCCAATTTTTTTTTTCAAGACCAAAGGAGAGGGGAAAGGATTTCTTATGGTTTAACCTCTGGGTCATCTTGAAGGCCTTGAATAAATTAAATTGGTGGATGCTTGTATACTTATATCTGATGGACAAGAACTATCCTTTTCTGGTCCTAATCTGTTCAAAGTAAACCTTTCCAATTAAAAAGCCCAGTGGTGATTGTCAATACCTTGCAACTACAGAGTTGAAATTCTGAGGTGGATAGGTCACACCACTTTCCCCAAAGCAGGAAAATGTGTGCAACACTCTTACCATACAGCTGGACATCTGCCATATACACCACGTAGTTGTTCCCTTAAACACTGGATTTGCACCTACTAGGTGTGGTGTGTTGTGTAAAATAGGCTGCTTGCCTACAGCCTGCTCCTCCCGAGGGACTCAGGAAAGTGAGTAGTAAGGGACACACTGCTCCTAACAGAGTAAATGCTGTTGTCTCATATTTAATCTCAGACTTGAGCTGACCAAGCTGTAACATAAATGAATGCAGGTGATAAGTTCACTTTCAGCTGCTGTTTTTCTGGGACAGCCATTAGCTTTCCTCCCTTGCTTGTTCAATTCAACTTTGTCTTAGGAGGAAACAATTTTATTAGTTTGTCCATCAGTTAAGATACAATCCTCACTTCAGTGAGGAAGTGAAAGTCAGAATATAGACTTTGAGCTCTGGGTTTTAGTCTGTTACAGTCTCTTCACGGCAAAATATACTTAATTATACCCAAACATAGCCCCATACTAGCCACTGTGAAGAAAGTTAACTCTACTTCAGCCCAAACCAGCACAGTAAAAAAACGGTTTTTGTTAAAGTAATCCACACAGTGCTGTAAGTACTTGTGATAGACTTTACATAGAACTAAAGTTGGCTTGTGAGGGAGTTTGTGAATATTTTCTGTACTCTTTATTAATAATAAAGGGCACTGTAGTTGTGGGTAAGATGTGTGCTGAAAGCATTTCGGTTGGTGAATTTTATAGGCAGAATGGGTTAAACAGCCCTGAAGTTCTCCATACTCTAAGGATAAACAGGAATCTGCCCGTATAACTTCCATGCCACTAGCACAGCATCAGCTGCTTTCTGTCAAAAGCATCTGCTAATGGTGGAAATCCTTGCTTCTCTGCAGGTCTGTAGCTCTTTTTTATACTGTCATTGGTATCCAAGAAAATGTAATACTTCCTGAAGTGTAGGAAGGATGAGGGAATAGTGGCTTTTGGGGGACATGATTTGGAAGTATTTACTTGATCATCAAATCCCTTGCTGGGTTTGTTGGATAGCGCAATATATAAATAACTACAGTAAAGAATTGCTAGATCTGTCTATTCCTTCCCTAGCCTACATTTTTATTTCCATTGCTGCTCATCAAGTTCACTTGGGAGGGATTTTATGCCATAAGCTGTCAAGGGAAATTCCTCCTTTCTTTCAGTATTGATGTAGTCCATCAACACTGCGGCTATGGTAGGAGTTTTTCAGTCCTGTTGTTCCACCTGTGGTGCTAGTAGCAATTACTCATCAGGTAAACTTCAGCTGTTTTGTCACAATGTGTGGTAGTGAGGTTTTGATTAGAGGTTCAGAGGGTGGAAAGAAGGGGAAGAAATACAGACAGTTCTGGATGTTTGCTATGGATTGCCAAAATCATAACTTCCAGTGGGTTCTGCAGGGCTGCAGCACTCCTCCGATACGGAAAAGTGTGAAATGGTTATATGTAGTTAGTAATTTGCTGCTAGTAGAACACTTCATGTAAAACTCATTACTCCAACTACTGTCCTGTTCTCTGTCAGTTCTCAGATGGAGACAGTTAAACTGATGCAGTCACTGCTTGATTTGCTTCATAACTGGAGGCTGTTCTGGGGAATCCTGCTGCTGCTCATCTGCAAAATCCAGCAAATGAAAAGCCTGGAATTCCAAAGACTAGCTGTTTGTGGCCAGTAGCAGTCCTGTAGCTAGCAATACCATCACATAAGATGTATTGCAGCCAGCAGCACTGGTGCAGTAATACTTTTTCCAGCTATGGGGGAGGTTCAAAAAGCCTACAGGATTCAGCTGGTGTTCAGTCATTCGAAGGGGATGAGGCTTGAAGCTGAATTTCCTGTTTTAATCAGCAGAGGCTCCTTAAGTGAAGCATAGTTTTTCTTTTACTCTGTTCAGCTTGATGATGCACTGTCAGAAAAGGGGAGATTTGCTGTTAACTTCTAAACTTGTATGGCAGTCAGTGTAATATAGCTTATTGTGCAGTTTTATACTAATAGCTCTAAATTTTCAAAGTGTTAAATGGAGTAATGATGTCCTTGTAAGTTAGAGAATTCAGGTATAAATTCTGCTGCTTGTCAGAAACAGCTGCATCTACTTATTTATCTAGAACATATGAGGATTTTTAAGCCAGAATATTTTTCTCCAAAATACATGAATCTTCTCCAGCTGGTTTATAGGAGCATTTGTCTTAGCTTGCTATTGCGTGTCTCCCACCAGGAGAGATGGTTTTATCCACTTCTTTAGGCAGGCAACACTAAACACCTCTCAAATTATAAATAGAATACTTTTAGGGCTAGAAAAAATATGATGGTTACAAGTAGATTTTATTCATATGCTGTGGAATTGGTTAACTTTCTAATGGGAAGCTGGGAGTGCTTTATGCTTGGCCTCTACAGTGAAGGAGGTAATTGA